ATATAGATCTGTCGGACTGCACACGAAAACAATGCATATTTTATTAATACTCCAAGTCTATTTATTTAACAAAGTCATGTAAATTATACATGTAGTATATTTTACATCAACATCAGCATGTAAGAAGCAAATTTGCACAATTTATGGACAAGTACAAATTCTTTTAACATTTAGCTTGATTTAAAGGAAATGAAATGGATCTCAGGTCAGCAGTCACAGTGAGGATAACAGGGATTACAGATCCAACGGCTCAATTATAGTGTAAAGTCTCTATTCTGTTTCACCGTTTACAGAGCACGACTCCAGCAGATTTCTGTAAATCCGACAAGTCAATTTCTGGCTCAACCAATGGCAAACTGTCATTGTATGTGCATACGACTACCTGTTTATCCAAAGAGAAGCTACAGGAGTGCTTGGGGGGGAAATGTGTCTTTATGAGTGAGTTATTAAGTCATTCACTCAAGCGATTCATTCAAAAACACTGATCCATTCAGGAAAGAAACGAGTAATGTCTTTATAGGGGAGTCATTGAATCATTCACTCAAGCGATTCATTCAAAAACACTGATTCATTCAGGAAAGAAACAAGTAATGTCTTTATAGGGGAGTCATTGAATCATTCACTCAAGCGATTCATTCAAAAACACTGATTCATTCAGGAAAGAAATGAGTAATGTCTTTATAGGGGAGTCGTTGAATCATTCACTCAAGCGATTCATTCAAAAACACTGATCCATTCAGGAAAGAAACGAGTAATGTCTGTATAGGGGAGTCGTTGAATCATTCACTCAAGCGATTCATTCAAAAACCATGATTCATTCAGATAAGAAATGAGTAATGTCTTTATAGGGGAGTCATTGAATCATTCACTCAAGCGATTCATTCAAAAACACTGATTCATTCAGGAAAGAAACGAGTAATGTCTGTATAGGGGAGTCATTGAATCATTCACTCAAGCGATTCATTCAAAAACACTGATTCATTCAGCAAAGAAACGAGTAATGTCTTTATAGGGGAGTCGTTGAATCATTCACTCAAGCGATTCATTCAAAAACACTGATCCATTCAGGAAAGAAACGAGTAATGTCTGTATAGGGGAGTCGTTGAATCATTCACTCAAGCGATTCATTCAAAAACACTGATTCATTCAGGAAAGAAACGAGTAATGTCTTTATAGGGGAGTCATTGAATCATTCACTCAAGCGATTCATTCAAAAACACTGATCCATTCAGGAAAGAAACGAGTAATGTCTGTATAGGGGAGTCGTTGAATCATTCACTCAAGCGATTCATTCAAAAACCATGATTCATTCAGATAAGAAATGAGTAATGTCTTTATAGGGGAGTCATTGAATCATTCACTCAAGCGATTCATTCAAAAACACTGATTCATTCAGGAAAGAAACGAGTAATGTCTGTATAGGGGAGTCATTGAATCATTCACTCAAGCGATTCATTCAAAAACACTGATTCATTCAGCAAAGAAACGAGTAATGTCTTTATAGGGGAGTCGTTGAATCATTCACTCAAGCGATTCATTCAAAAACACTGATCCATTCAGGAAAGAAACGAGTAATGTCTGTATAGGGGAGTCGTTGAATCATTCACTCAAGCGATTCATTCAAAAACACTGATTCATTCAGGAAAGAAACGAGTAATGTCTTTATAGGGGAGTCATTGAATCATTCAAAAACACTGATTCATTCAGGAAAGAAATGAGTAATGTCTTTATAGGGGAGTCGTTGAATCATTCACTCAAGCGATTCATTAAAAAACGCTGATCCATTCAGGAAAGAAACACCACTAATGCACGCGTTGAAATGCATTGATTCGGTTTTCGCTTTGTTTGTCACATTAACTGATAGTAAAATTTAATAGAACACATAAGTATGTGAAGATAGACAGAGGGAATATGATTGGTATCTGGTATGATTATTACACAACTAAATTAAAAATGCCACGTTACTTCACTTTTTCAGCATCATATCTCAAATAAAATATCATGTTTGTTATACTAATGAATTTTATTAAATATACCTTTTGGTGAAAGATCTTTTTAAAAAGACCTGTAAACTCCAGCCACAATTTTCCCTGTCCATCTAAAAACCGACCTTAAATGACCCCTTTCAGATTTACCTTGACCCAAGCCGTGCGAACACAAAGACACTGTCCAGTGCTCTAGATTAGTTCACATATGATGAAGCGCTGGGCTTGTGAAGAGCTCTCTTTGCCCTTGGCTGTATTGAAGTAATGGAAGAGCTGAAATGATGCACCGCTGTCTCCGAACGACAAATCCTTCATCTGTTCATGTCGTCTGTCTGTAGTGCTCTTAAAAAATACAAGCCCTGAGGAGCTTCAATACATAATGATGGATTCTTCTTATTGATATAAAAGAAAAGAGACACACAAATGGCCTATTTTATTGCCAGATGTAAGAAATTAGGGCTTTGTTGCTTCATCAAAGAAAAGCACAAGACTTTAGTGTATGTAAGGCCAAAGAAAATAAAGACAGAGTCTGCCATCTTTTCATTTTAGGAGCCAGTTGATTTTTACTTAAAGTCCCTGGAGTCAATAATTGTATCCCTTAAAACTCATCTTTGATCACCAAAATGACATATTTAAACGTTTTTCATTAAAATATCTTGAATGTAACTCGACACCCTTGCCTCATTTAGTATGCGCGGTTCTATGAATATGCAAATGAGCCCCGCCTCCACTCACTCCCTCAGCTCAGGGGTCCACTGGTTGACGATCACACGTTGATCTGATTGGTTACAAGGTCGTTTGTAGTCTCAGCCTCAGACGTCACGCCCACGGAACGTTGGCTAAACGTCTGATGCATATGGTACACTTAACTGGAAACACTTCAGGAATGTCGAAGTCGTCATCTGATTGGTTGAATTTGATCGGATTTCCGGGGGGTGCGAGTGTCGCGTTTATTTTCGGTCTGCCGGGAAACAAAGCGCAGACGTGTGATTGCGGAAGAAAAACTGTTGTGTTTACATGAGTGACAATGAGCATTTATCAAGATCAGCTAAACGTAGGATTCTCAAAAGTATGCGAGGTTCACGGCGTAGACTCTTTAAGAGATGTCCAGGAGTTTTGTTTGAGGCACTTAGTGGAGACAAAAAGAGATATTTTAGCCTGTTTGCCGACGGGATTTGGGAAGAGTATTATTTTCCAAGCCTGGCCGACCCTTTGTCAGCATTTATAAGGCAGATCCAACTTTACTAGTTGTGTGTCCCCTCCTATCTATTACATAGCTGTCAACCCTCCCGTTTTTTCCGGGTTTCTCACGTATTTTAGCTCTTTTCCCGCTGTCTTCCCGTTTTATTATTTTCCCGTAAAATATCCCGTATTTTTACGCTCTGATTGTGTGGGACGTACATGCTCGGGCAGATTCGGCTTGAAGTCGTTCATCCTCGGATGCGGCGCGCTGTTACAAAAAAAGCTGTGCACACAGCCAAGCGAAATGGGGTCTTGCCGGTCTTGCGCACCCAACGCGTAATCTTTGCCGCGCTCGTGCGGACGCGTCAAGTTTAAACAATTATACTCCGTGTCAGCGCGCGCTTTGATCGGTAAAGGAGCACAGACCTCTCCCTAATCATCTCCAGCAGCCCCCGAAGCACCACGTACCGTTTCCCTCGTAAGCTGATATTAGTATTTAAACATTCTCTGATAAAAAATGTTTAAAAAATGACACACTTTCTCTAATACACACACACACTGTCTCTTTCTCTCTCACTCATTTGTAGTTATAAACTCTTTAGACTTTTAATGATTAGTGCTTTATTTTTAAAGTTTGTGGTGGGTAAGAATCGTGTAAAAAAAATCCCTTATTTTGGGGATGGATTCCGGGAAATCTCCCTTATATTCAATGTTCAATGTTGACAGCTATGATCTATTATGGAAGATCAAGTGAAATACCTAACTGTGAAGGGGATATCAGCCGCGTTTGCGGGCAAACATGAAACAACAGACCCTGACATCGCAGCTGGCCGATTCAGTATTGTGTTCGGTTTTCTTCTCCTCCTTTGATTTTCTATGCTGACTGACTTGTTGCACGCCGGTCTGTTGTTGTGGGGACATTTCCACGTGACGCTGAACGAAACGAACTGTAATTGGTTGTTTGACATGTCGGTCAAACGGCCTTATGGGCGGGCCTTGGCCAAAGAAAGCTGCTATGAGTTCCAGACCTTCAGCCGTCAGTCTGAAGGTCTGGCTACGCGAGACTAGGTCGTTTGTGACGTCAGAAACACCAGCGATGTCAAACCGTGTTTTTGAGACTGTCTTTGGTTCACTGCAGTTTTAAGGAGAAAATACTCAGCAATGCTGTCGACTTATAAACTTACACATGGTTTGTCTTAAAGCACATTAAAAACACATATAAACAACATTAAAAGCTGGATTTTCACCACAGCGGGACTTTAAAGCACTGCAATTTAGGATTGCCTTGAAATAATAATCGACCATGAATTCTGAAGATGATATAAATGCATGATTTCCACTGACAGAAAATCAAAAAGTCTGGAATAATGACTTTTTTTTAATGTTTAAAAGAAGTCTCGTGAAACTTTATTTAGATATTTCACTTTAGACATTCTACTAACTAAAAGTAACGTTATGTCAACTAACTCTCATTAGAGTATTAGTAGAATAAGTTGACATGTAGTTGCTTATAGTCACAATTTCTGTTCAAAATAAGCATCAAAATAAAGTGTTATCAGATATTAAGCGGACAGTAATACTCTAATGAGAGTTAGTTGACATAGTTGTAACATTACTTCTAGTTAGTAGAATGTCTAAAGTGGACTATCAAAATGAAATGTTCTTATACTCACCAAGGATGCATTTAATTGACCAAAAAAAACCCCAGTAAAAACAATAGTGAAATTAAATCAAAGCACTCTTGGAGAGACATTACAAAACCTTAATTATTCCAACCTTTTGACAGGTAGTGTATATGCATTAATGCATGTATATTTCATATTCTCTACTCACCCTGAAGTCTATCCCAACTGTCGAGATGAAGCTCCCAGCCAGAAATGCTCCATCTTTAAAGCGAACCAACAGACAGGTTTTCCCCACGCCGGAGTCACCGACCAGCATTACCTGGAGAAAACACACGATAAAGCAAAGCATGCAATATATCCCATCATCCCTCCCTCTTATTCTATTAAGAGACAAACATCCTCCCATCCTTCCATCAGTGTCAATCAAACCATGTCTGTTTCCCTGCAGCACTTAGAAAGACTCTTTCACGGCCGTAAAGATTAAAGACAGGAATACCGTAGTGGGAAGGAGAGGTTTGCTTGCAGAGAGATGAGATTAGATCAAAACTACAGTGCACAACTACACCAAAACTCCCAAAAGGAATGGATTTTGCTGTGTTAAAGCTATAAAACATACAATTTTGACTATCCTGCACGTCATTTCATAATAAACTCACTATTCCCTTCAGACCTGTTCAAGCTTAAAGCTCAGGTGAAAAGCCCTTGTGGAAAAGAAGTGCAGTGTACTTCAAATTTTAAAGTATTTCTTTAGAAAAAAACAACTTGCACATAATATAACATTAATTAAATAAAAGGTCACTTAAAGAGAATACACTTTCATGACTGTTTATGAACACGCTTTTAAAAAGTGCATGTACATTTTTTATTTTAAATCACGTTTTGTCATGCTTTATAGAAATACAAACCTTGATGTGTTGACTAAAGCACATAGTTATTTGATATTACATGTAAAGTTAACATGTTTTAAATGTACTACATTGCAACATCATTACAAATGTGTAATTAGAAAAACATTTGCATACATGACAAGTTCCAACAGAAGTGGCATTAAAGTATATTTCAGTTTTATTTATAAATGTGTGTCGGACCACTTTAACCATATTTCAAAGACAATAGAATTAATTATGAAATTAATGTACATGTAAATATTTACTTAAGTGAGTAAAAAAAAACACTCTTAAGTTCAACTTATTGCATTTTATATCAATTTAAACTTTAATAAATGTTCATTTAATCGTAAATAGCACGCAATTAAGTGTCTAAAAACATTGCATTCAGTTCACACTTAAGTGTATTATTTCCATAATAAGTAATATTTTTAAAACTATTTCTTTTCACAGGTTCATTAAAAGATGAAGCTTCTTAAATGATCATTTTTCACAAACAGCATTGGTTTATTTCATAGACTGTAAAAACAGGTTTATTTATTTTAGTAATATAATGGTAAATGATATGCAGGATAGGAAATGCTTGTTTAAACGTATGGAGTTTGGGAAATCAGGAGTTGCACAGCTATTCTTCACTCGAGACTGATGATGTTCCTGATTGCATTTGATGAATAAGCAAGACTATATATATGATTCATCATCAGGGAATGATTATATAAATGCATTATTCACCAGATCAGAACCGTCTCCCACACCGAAGTCACTTAAACATTTAAGCCTAAATATGAAAACTGGAGAAAGCTTAAGCGGTCCGTGTGAATGCTAGTCGCGGAGCATGCTCGAGTCCAGCTGGATTACTCAGTTTCTGTGCTCTGCTTATCTGTATTGACACAGCTGTTCAATTAGAGTCAAACAGAGCGCAACATCCTCATCCGTATGGGACAGCTGGATAGCGTTTCATTGTTTTTAATTGCCGTGGCATAAATAAAGGCCACAAACTCATTGCATAGTAAATCTCCACACAATCATTTGAGCTGAAATAAACATTTTATAACACAGCAGCCATGTTTATGCTGGCAAAATATTTACACTCACATATGCATGCACATGTATGGCAAGCCATTTTAACACTTAATAGTTGGCTTATATATTTATGAAAAAAAATTCAAGTGGAACAATTTATTGAACAAAAAAATCAAAAAAAAAAAAAAAAAAATTTGTTGTTGTTGAGTATCATATGTGCTACATCATGGCTCATATAGTATGATTTAGTGAGAATATGGAGGAAAAAAACTGCTCAAGTTTATTCAGAGACTCAAACTGAGCAAAATATGAAATTTGCTGCAGATGCTGATATTTATATGGACAAAAAGTGATGAAATTCTGATGCTTGTAATGTAAATCAATGAGATCTTTATAACAATATAGCAGATACTGACATAAAATGCATACAAAAATCTATATCAGCCAATAATATGTCTTAGTAAGATATTTAAAAGCTTAGTTTATGATCAAAGCTCTGTAGTTTTAAAACATGCAAAACAATGTTTGAGAGATGAACAAATAAACCTTCTACAAACCTGATGATACTCATGATTTTTATAATAAATTATGCATTATGAAACATGCAGCTTCAGTCCAGTAAAGCGTTTTTCTTGAAATATTACTGATAGTATAAATGTTATTCTTAGGTTTTAACAAAATTTAGGATGAAGAGAACGGCTGACTTTAACCTCAGAAGCCCAGAGGATGTTAGTTACCTCAAATTAGTTTCCAATTAAATGGATCCTTGATACTATTGAGATGAATGAGAACTAGTCATAAGATACTAATTATGATTGGAATACAGGTGAAACTCGAAAAATTAGAAGATCGTGCAAAAGTTGATTTATTGCAGTAATTCAACTTAAAAGGTGAAACTAATATATTATATAGACTCATTACATGCAAAGTGAGATATTTCAAGCCTTTATCTGTTATAATTATAATATAATTATAGCTTATGAAAACCTTTTCACAATATTCTAATTTTGACTGGGGTTTTCATAAGCTGTAAGCCATAATCATCACAAGAATAACAAATAAAGGCTTGAAATATCTCACTTTGCATGTAATGAGTCTATATAATATATTAGTTTCACCTTTTAAGTTGAATTACTGAAATAAATGAACTTTTGCAGGATATTCTAATTTTTCGAGCATTTCAACCTGTAATAGAATTGGAATGGCTAGTGAAATTCAAATATAGGCAAGGCACTAAAATTACTTAGTAGTAAATATAAAAAATAATATACAAAGGTTACTAGTAGCCTAATATAAAAATGAATAAATGTGTAAACGGCTTGCCATACTGCATGATGTTCGCGTTGTTGAAACGAGCTCGTCTTGTACCTTGAAGGCGATGTCGTAGAACTCTCCACTGTTGCTGAGAGAGGGTCTGCTGGGATAAACCACTCCGTTGGACTGGGTCAGGACTTTCTTCCCCTTCTCTTTATCGCTGATGGGAGATGAGCTCGGAGAATTTGAACTCCCCTTTCCTTTCACCGCTTTTTTCCTCGACATTATTATTATAGCCTAATAACTATTCCCCGTGCGAACGTACGACGAGTAATTTATAAAGCACGCTCTGTGCAGAAACTAGGTTACTTTTCCCGAGGTGTAGCCTATGTCTTAGCAAGCGTGAATTAACTTTTCAGGAATAAGCGTGCGCATGGCTTCGGGTTTGCGTCAAATAATGAGTGCGCGCAGTGCACCTGCTTCTGTGCTCCAAAAATGTGCAAAGAAAAAACGTCTCAGCCTCCTCAATGCACTTGTGCTGCTGAAGCTCCGTCAGTATGAAAGGGGAAATTCACCTCACTCCTTTAAAGCAGAGTAGTAGTGCACGCGCGTTGACAACAGTCAGTGAAGCGCGCGCGAGCACTCAGTCTCTCCACTTGCGTGAATACAAAACCCTCTTAAAGGCGCAGTCTTATTTTGAACGTACATCAGGATTAGTTTTGGCTAGGAGGAGGGATTGACAAAGAATGAACTCGAAGATATCAGCAGGAATTAAAAAAAAATCAAAATCAAAATTCAGCTTATTAGACTAGGCTACTAAAAATTACAGCATTTTACAAGCCTTACATTAATATGGAAGCTTGTTTATGTCGTTGATTTGTTCTTTATTTTGTCATTGTTATAAATAACAACGAAATAACATCAGAGAATCCTATAATATAAGTGCAAACTTTGTACCAGACAACAGAGACATAGAAATTATTGTCCATAAATTGAAGTCTCTCATTAAGAAACCAGAACTAGATCCAAATGAATTTGCACAGACCCATTTCAAATCTTTCATTTATGTCTAAAATACTAGAAAAAGTCATGTCCGTTAAAGGTGCTATATGTATTTTTTAGAGGCCTCTATCGGTGATGTATGGAAGCCCTGAACCGCAACGTAAAACAAAAAAAAACAAAAAAAAAACTAGCATTTCGAGATTAAAGTCGAAAAATTTCGAGATTAAAGTCGAAAAATTTCGAGATTAAAGTCGAAAAATTTCGAGATTAAAGTCGAAAAATTTCGAGATTCAAGTCGAAACATTTCGAGATTCAAGTCGAAATACTTCGAGAGTAGCCTACGAGAATACAGTTTTCCGTAGAAATTGCGTGTCTTGTGCTTGCCATTGTTTCACATTGCCACACACACAGGCCTTCATAATGGTGCATAGCGAGTGTTTCACACTGTGTGTGTGTGTGTTTTGTTTCAACAAAAGGAAATTCAACAGGTGACAATCTACCAGCATTAGGCTACCATTATAGGACGTTATAAAATATACTGCGCCGGAATAGACTTTAGCCTATAGGAAAACCAACCCGGAAAACACCTTTCAGACTGGATGGAGATATCCAGCTTTATGAATGAATGAATGAATGAATGAATGAGGCATGTATATAGCGCTTTCATATGTCTACTAGGCCTACTCTCAAAGCGCTTTACAATCATATCAGAGAATCTCTCCTCAACCACCATTAGTGGTTATTATATCTGAGGAAATCACGGGATCCGGCCAAATGATTGGATACAGAATGATGCACTTAAAATGTATCCAGAACATATTTACGGTAAAGAGGGAGACAGAACGGTTACTGTAGTGTTCACGACCCAGATAGTGTTGCCTAGACGAGCACGAAAACACCTCAAAAACACTGCCACATAAAGTTTGGACCAGATTGTGATACTCCGGCGGAGTCTGTGCGCTCGTCTATAACGCCATGCTAATTCTTGTTGGTAGATTAGCACCAGTGTTCGTTGAATTTTGTTGAAAGCCCAGATAACACACACACACGCGCGCGCGCGCTCTGAGCCAGTGGACGCGCACTGTTATGAATGCACACACTTCTATGGAAGACTGTATTAACGTAATGTTTCGACTTTATTCTCGAAATGTTTCGACTTTAATCTCGAAATGCTAGTTGTTTTGTTTTTAAACAGATTTTTTTTTTTTTTTTTTTTTACGTTGCGGTTACGACTTTAATCTCGAAATATTTCGACTTTAATCACAAAATGCTAGTTTTTTTTTTTTTTACAGATTTAAAAAAAAAAAAAAAATTACGTTGCGGTTCAGGGCTTCCATGATGTTTCAGATTGCAACCAATTTTTACAAGAGCGCTCGTGCTCGAACACAAGAGCGATCACTCATGGTACCGGCCACACTGATAGTTTCAACACACGGAGAAAGTGTCACACAACATGCTGGAAACTCATGTAAACTCCCACTGCAACGTTACAATAATAGGCTACTTTTATCAGCTTGACGTTGAACTAATGCTCCATGCTCGTACCATGATAACGTTACATTTGTGGTGTTATCTAGCATAAGGCATTTCACTAACTATTCGTGTATCTTTCACAATCAGCAATGTCAACATAGGTGAATGTATAACATGATAACGAAAACGGTTAGTGACTAGACTGAACAATTTCAGTGTAACAGTAAGATCGTAGGAAGTAACATTACTGTACTGAACGTGTCTGGAAATTATAAACAATATGATAGTAGTGGGATGAGTGACGTTAGACAGTAGATCTAGTACATAAAATAAAAGTTACATCCTAAAGCACCTACTTTTTGTTATCCTGGAACAGTCTTTTGTATTCATTTCATGTCTCATATGTTGTAGTTTACCTTGCCATTTCATTACAGTTTACCATTATTTATTTCAGCATATCTGAAAACTTGTAATTTATCACAATAAAAATAGCGGAGGTCTCTCCATAATTCAAACGCTCTGCCGATGTTGATCCGTGTTTTCGTCCTAAGTCGATCCGATTCACGTTTGGCCTGATGAGCTTCAGCAGATACATTTCTGTTTTGTTTTTTATACTTATGTGGAGTTTGTGTTGGAGTGTGTGTTGTGCTGGAGTGTGTGTTGTGCTGGAGTGTGTGTTGTGCTGGAGTGTGGAGTGTGTGTTGTGCTGGAGTGTGTGTTGTGCTGGAGTGTGTGTTGTGCTGGAGTGTGTGTTGTGCTGGAGGCAGGTCGTGTTTGGGTGTTATCAGACTCCATGTCGTCGCATAAACTGTATATAAGGAGAGAGGCTCGGGAGCGCGCATGCACGTCACATCCGATGGATTTCGCGGTAAATCCGACCCGGAGACTTCACATAGAAATAGGAATACTGGCCTTCAGAGGTAATAGCAAAACCCGACAAGTGGATCATTGTAATGTGTGATTACAACCCCTTCACACACAGGCAATAAAAAAAGCATTCATTTTAGAAGAAAAGTTACATATAGCACCTTTAAAAAATGATGAAAAACAAAATTATATCTATGAAAAAATGTATTCTGGATTCAGGCCCTGCACACAGAAACTGCGCTCGTTAAAATGACAAATTACTTCAGGCTGTATCTCAATACTAGTTTTACTTGATCTTAGTGCTGCGTTCGACACTATAGATCATAAAATACTCTTAGATCGACTACAAAATTACACTGGTATTCATTCAGGGACAGGCATTAAGGTGGTTTAGATTGTATGTATTAGACCGTATTTTGTCTATTTAAATGTGGAAAAATCTGAGATTATGTCAGTAAAGTATGGAGTGACACAAGGCTCTGTGTTCGGCCCTCTGCTATTCGTAATATGCTGGCACTTGGTGACATTATAAGAAAACATGGAATCACTTTCCACTGTTATGCCGATGATACTCAGTTTTATATCAGTTATCTACTCTAAAATTATCCAACTTGACAGTGTGTGTTAAAATACATAAAATATTGGATGACCTGTAATTTTCTTCTATTAAATTCAGATAAGACTGAGGTATTACTTATTGGACCAAAACCCTGTACACAGAATCTCTTTTTGTGTTTAGAAGGATGTACTGTAACTTCATCCTTTATGGTTAAAGACCTGGGTGTTATATTAGACAACGTGTCCTTCGAAAACCATATTTCATATGATGTGTTATATGATAGTTTTTATTTTGTTTGTGTGTGTGCGTGTATGTATGTGTGTGCGCGCGTGTGTGTGTGTGTGTTTTTAACATAATTTGCACTTGTCTTGGCATTCACTGTGGACAGCAAAGAAATAATTTCATTGTGAAACTTGTTTATATGACAATAAAGGCTTTGACCTTGACCTTGATGAAGATGTTCCTCGATGAAACATCGCTGAGCTCCGGAACATGCTCTCAGTTTCTGATGCAGAAGTTAGCATGACGTCTAGACTACATTACTGTAATGCATTACTAGCTGGCTCTCCTTCATCCGCAATAAACAAGCTACAATTAGTCCAAACTGCACATGCTAGAGGTCTTACTAGGTCAAGAAAATATGATCATATAACAACAATATTATCATCTCTACACAGGTTACCTATTAACCTCCGTATCAATTACTATACTGATCAATAAGGGGGACCTACAAATATTTTCTGTCCTAAAAATAGAGGGAAGTTGTCTCATTTTTCAGATCAAGCTCTAGGTCATTTCAATAGTACAGTATGCTACTATTAATGTGAAAGTAACCAGAAAAATAACAAGATATTTATGTTGCAACATCTTGGCTGGAATTGCTCTATATTGGACCCGACTTTATGCCGACAGTCAAAAGTCTGACTTGTTATTCAAGTGACTCATGTGTGGAAAATATAACTCCAGTTTTTCATCACAGAGCCTTACATAATCTTCATATATAGCCACTAGTGACTCACATGACAAAAAAAAACTATTATAAATAAACCTAAATATTCCTTAAAAAAACGATTATCTGCAGCCTTAAGATTTCCTTCTGTCATGAAATGCATAAAGTTCACTAAAAGTTTATCCCAGAAAGGGCATTTTTAGCCACACCTGTCACTCGGATCAGTTGCTATAGTTACTGTACGTTGTAATTGATTTCTTCCTTTCTCAGGCTCAGTCTAAGATATCAAACTTAACCTACAGGTACCGCCATCTCTGCTTTATGGAGACACACTGTCACTTCCCAATGTAATTACTGGTCTTGAGCCCTTCACTGCTAATAAAGGACCCGTCCAGTGGATTTAACGGCTCAGCCCACTGGGATAATGAGCAGAAACACACGCTGATCAGTTTAGAGACTCGGGACACCAGCTCTCTCTCTCTCTCTCTAACGCTGGATCATTATCACTGTCTGCGCTTTACTTATTCTGGAAGATTTGATGATCCAGAAAAGATGATATTCCTGCTTCAGGAGGATTATGCTATATTATGTTATATTATATTATATATTTAAAGAGCAGTTGTTCTTCCATTTCTTATCCATATCCTAATAGGATGCAGCGCTCTTCAGGAGAGTTTTGTTATGTCATCTTATGTCATGTTATGTTATGTCATGTATGTTATATGTTATGTCATGTATGTTATATGTTATGTTATGTCATGTTATGTTATGCCATGTCGTGTCATGTT